ATCTATCAAGCTCGCTTGGAATTTATTACAATCAAACAAATAAAATGCAATTTTATTTCTTTATTTTAAGATATACTGCCATCAGCAACATTTCAAGAAATTCTTTCGGATTCAAAAACTTTGTTTAGTAGTGACTTATTACCGCGTTGGGTGTTAAAATATTCAGTGCTTATAAAACATCGTGGTGTGGTTGCTGACAAAGGGTATAGTGACTTCAAATTCTTACAACGCATGTTCTATTTAAAAAATTTATTGATAATTATTTTTTGTTACCAGGTATATTGTGATGGCAAGTGCTTCGAATTCTGATTCCTAACATTATATGCGCATTATAGAAATATTTGAATTCGTCAGTACTTAATTCTAGTGGAAATTTTGGGCACTGCGCGCAAAAAAAAAAAACGAATTCATTGAATTTATACAAACAACGACTATATTAATCTTAAAGAAACTCTAAATACTAATTAGTAGATATTTTTAGATACTCGATTTATTTTTTACTTTGTTAACTTGTATACTTCTTAGTTAAAGTAGATACATAGATTTATAATTAATTACAATAGAAATATACAGTATTTTCAGAAGTAAATGGTTTTTTTTTTAATGTCGTAATTTAATTTTATATTTTAATTACAAAATTTGTTAACTTAAAATCAATACATTTCTGATAGTAGTAATTGAGTTTTGATTTAATTTTGCTAATAATTATTTGATTATTACCTTATATATATATTTTTTTAAATTAATATTAATATTTAATATCTTTTATATAATACCAACATATTCAAATTTATTTATAATATCGTATATTATAACAAAAAAAATAAAGATGTAAATCAATTTTTTGTAAAAAGTTTTCTTTTATAATAATCATCTTTAAAAACAATATTAACTTTTTTTTATACTAGTTCAAATTATATTATTTGGCTGTCAAATTACAATAGATTTATTATAAATTTATTAATAAAAATATATGTCAAGGTTTTATTATTTGATTTAATTTATACCATTTAGTATTTAAAAAAAAAATCAAAAAAATCATATATATTATTATTTTATTTATTTATATTCCTTAAATTGTAAGTATTTTCAAACAAAGTTGTTTAGAAAGTTAATAAAAATATATTTATAATTATTTTTTTTAAATTTTAAAATATTCAAATAAGAATTTTTTTAATAATATTTGAAAATAAGAATTATATTTCCAGATAAAAGCAATTAAAACAAAACTTATATAATATCTGATACCATAACTTATTAAATGCTATTTCTTATATAAAGTTATTTTATATGCTAATCCAGCAAACATTAAGATTATATTTTTTAAAAAAGATATCATAACATAATAATTATTCAGTTGGTACTATAATAATTATCAAAAGTATAAAATAATAATTGAACAATATAGTAAATTAAGAAATATATATTTAACTTTTTTAATTAAGACTTATTTTATATTTGAATATATAAACTAGGTTGTACTATATATGATTCCTTATTATTATAAAAGAAAATTTGATTGACAATACAATTCCGAATTAAATACAAACATATGTATAGGTTATACTTTATTCTAACCAATTTCTTTTATTTTTTTTTAATAATGATTAAAGCTTTAACCTAAAGATTTTAATAATTTGATTTGATTTGATTCTCAATTTTCAGATTTATATTAAATTTAATATGTGAATTATAACTTATTATTATTTTTAATAGTATTTTGAACCTCATATAAGTAAGAATGGATCCCTAAACTATTTAGTATATAAAATTTCGCAGATCAATTATGTCACTTTTGAAGGGATATAATTATTTATTCATTACTTTAATAGGAACATAATTCAAAAAACACTTGGATCAAGTAATCTAAATTGCAAAAAACCTTTATAGGTAGTTTTTTTTTGACCTTATATTTAAAAAAAAACTTTTTTAATAGTAAGAAACATTTGAATTATATCCTTACCTTTAATTTAGGGATCCATCTTTACATATAAATTTATAAAAGTTTATTTGATTTCAATTTTCAGAATTATATCTTAATCTAAATTTTAATTCAGTATAAAGTCTAATTAATTTGAAAAATAATTAGCTGCAAGTAATAAAAATACTATAATTATAGTCTTGTATAAATCTTATTTAAAAATAACAAAAATATAATATAAGATTTAAGTAATAAGATAAAAAAGTATTTAAACTAATCTCTTAATTAAGACTCCTCTATATAAAGTTAAATTATGTAAGTATATAATTTAAACTAGTGATAGAATTTCTATATTCTATAGATATTTTTTGATTTTATAAAAAAAATTAATAAAAATGATAAATCTCTGAATATTAAATAAAAATAAATAAGATAATAAATTATAGTTTAGCATTAATATTTAATGTATTCTATATATTATTATTATTATTTTTTTTTTAATCCCATAATTAAGTTGATGTTGTTTATTTATTAAATCATAGAGAACCATTACACATACGAGAATATATACAAAGTACAAATTTCCCTAATCCAACTCACTTGTCTTTAGCCAAAGCCTCTAGATACAATTTATAGAGTAATATATTGTTCCCTTAAAGGATAGGATTAAGATTCCAAATCTCCGATAGGATCAGCACCTGCAGATCACCTTCACAGTCATGACTATAAATCCAAATTATGTTACTTCCTCTTGTAGAAACTCTCTCTTGTAGAAACTACGCAAGGGGAAAAAAAAATAAAAAAGAAAATTTTTGACAAAGAAAAAAGAAAAAAAAAGCTATTATCTATTTTAATTATCATTGAAAAGGTTATCTCAGTGAACTTAAAATCCAAGCCCCTCATGGATTCCTACTTCTCACCACTTGTAGCCAGTTAAACTGTTTAATTTCCAATGGAGTAGTCGATATCCAAGAATGTTTAAGGGCACTTTCAGGAGAGTATTTCTTGAAACTTTACGCTTGAAGACTTCTAACCAAAAAGATTATTGGTTTTCTATTGTTGATTTCTCTCCCAAGCCATATCTTCTGGAATTATAGCTTTATTCAACCAGTGGATAGTTTCAAGATTCCTTTCTCCAATCATTTCCAGGATAGATATCAGTACTTC